ACGGCTGCACGCAGACGGACCACGTGGAAGATGGTGCAGCGACGGGGAGAAACGCAGCGTAGAGGGAAGAAGCTCGCGTTTCTGTCTCGTGTCAATCCTCGTGCGCGCAAGTTGTCTAAGCCAGGGGTGGTGGCGGTGGCTATGTGGAGTCATCGGGTCAGGGGCGCGCCCCCTTCGCGCCTGCGCAAGCTCCGTGCGCCGGCTGCGAACGCCTCAGGGCGGTGGCATCCTGGAGCGTGCGCTGCCACTCCCCTCGCCCTTGACAGGGCCATGGGGCATGACCGAAGGATTGCAAAAAAACCCAGGATTGCAAAAAAACCCAGGATTGCAAAAAAAAAACCCAGGATTGCAATCCAGGGTTTTTTTGCAATCCTGGTTTTTTTTGCAATCCTTTTTGCAATCCTTCGTATAAGATTTGGTGTGGGCATCTTCTTGAGTGGAGCCGCGCGTGGGCCGCCCTTGATCCCAGCCTTCGCCAAGCGGTGCGTCGCGTCTGGCCTCGCATCCCTGCCAAGCTGTGCGATGTTCCCAGGGCCGATCGGTGGCGGCGTGTCCTTTGGACCCATTGCGGCGGCTGTGGCCTGCGTGCTTGGACGTGATGGTAACCCATGCCGGGCCTGCCTGCTGTTTTCTTCCCCGGGTCACGCTTCGCGTGGGGCGTAGGGATTTTCCTTTCCACCACTGGAGGGTGGGTGAGAAACATGTTGGCATGGCCCTCTGGGGCCAAGCTTCTCAGGCCAATGGGGGCCAAGGTTTGCAAGAAGGGGTCGACTTCACTACGTTTAGGCAGATGCGGAAGGTGCTGGAGCGTCAAGGTGACTACGATGGAGTCGCTATTTTGAATCAACTTGCTGCTGGAGCTCAATGGCCTCAGCAGCGCCCAAAGGACTCTGGCTATGACAGTACTGGTCTGTGTCCTCGATGTGGAGTGTGCCATCAAACGCCTTGGCATAGGTTCTGGGAGTGCCAAGCTAACATTGATATTGACGACATGCTCCTCCACAACACCGCCCACATGTATCAGGACCCCCATGAAGGTATGCCTGATTCTGAATATTTCTGGACTCGTGGGTTGGTGCCTCTTGGGTGGACCCTTGGTGTGCTCCCTGCTCCTGAGGCGCTCGTCTGGGCTTAGGGGTCTTTCCTGGAGGTGCTTCAAAGTGGGGTTAGGATCCCGGGTGGTATCTATGGGCGTGACGGCTCTGGTGGGGCCCAAGCTCTTGATTGAGACTGAGACGTTGCGCTTGGTCTGTTGTGCATCTCCGTCCAGGATCCCTGCAGGTGTGCGGAATAATCTGTGGGACCTTGCCAGGACCTGGTCAATCCTCGCCGCGGGCGGAGGTTTACGCTCTGCTCCAGTTGTTACGCCTTGTGGAAGGCGATCCCAAGCTGTACATTTGTTTTTATCCTATCGCGCGAGCCTTCGAGAGAGAGGGCGCGGCGGTGGACCACTCGTGTATGTTTGATCTCTGGCAGCTTGTCTGGGATGAACTGGAGTTGGGTAACTGCAATGTATCAGTGTCTTGGACTAAAGCTCACCCTGGATTTCGTGTCATCTGTGATCTCCGCCTGACCTCCCAGGGTTTAGTCGCCAATGGTGTTGCCGACCACTTTGCGGGGGAAACTGCCAGTTGGGGGGCCGTGCCTGATGAGAAAATCGAGGAGACTCAGAATGTTGATGCTAATTGCCCGAAGGATCCCAAGAGGTTGCTAGCTGTGTCCAGACATGTGTGTCTCACGTGCCAACGCAGTGTGGGAGGCCCGAGCTCCTTTCATATCCGCAAAGAAAGGTTGCGGGTGCAAGGCCATGATGTGGTCAAAGTCTCGGCGTCTTTCAAGTGCACACGATGCCTCTGCAAGTTTTCTGCTGTGCGTGGTGAAGTGTCCAAGTTTTGGCCCCGTCCGTGCCCTGGGGCGCTGGTGTTGGGATCCTCGGCTGTTGCGCAGTTGGAGCCCTCTGCCAGTGCTGATCCGTCCCAAGGCAATCCGAGGACCCACCCGTACTTCAGTCGTGAGCATTTGTCGCACACCATCTCTGAATTCAAAGGTGTTCTGTTTTGTCGGGTTTGTGGTACTGTCGCTGTCCAAACTGTGCAGAAGTTGGCTGAAGAATGCCCCCCCCGCCCCCCCCCCCGACACCCACGGCCACTGGCCGCAATGACCTCGCGCGGGTGGCGAAATGCTTGCCCCCGAAGAGCGGCATGACCTTCCCCGCGCCTTGGAGAGATATTTGAGGTCGGACTCTGGGCTGGCCTGTTTGGGGCTGTGCATGCACACAGGTGTCCCATATCATCGACTCGAATCGAATCCTCCTTCTTCTTTTCCTCCTTCTCCTCCTCCTCCTCCTCCTCCTCCTCCTCCTCCTCCTCCCCCTCCCCCTCCTCCTCGTCCTCCTCCTCCTACTCCTCCTCCTCTTCCTCTTCCTCCATTCCTTCTCCTTATAGATAACTCCTCCCTGTCGCACCCCGAGGCCAGTTTTTAGGGCGGGCCGGGCGTTTCGCCTTAGACTTCCTGACCTTTTTGTGGCCCTGAAGCTTAAAAAGCGGCAGCAGTTTCAAAGATGAAGGGCGGGTCGCTTTCAACATGCGGCTCTCGCCTTAGCGCCGCGTGCATTCGTTGTTTTGCAATGGATTCACGGATTGAGGGCGGTTCCTTTTCAAGATGTGGCTCTCGCCTTAGCGCCGCGCACATTCGTTTAACAACTTTGCAAGGGCTTCACGGATTGAAGGCGGGCCGTTTTCAGAATGTGGCTCTCGCCTCAGCGCCGCGCACATTCGCTATACACATTTGCAAGAGTTTACGGATTGAGGGCAGGTCGTTTTCAACATGTGGCTCTCGCCTTAGCGCCGCGCACATTCGTTCTAACAAATTGCAAAAGATTCACGGATTGAGGGCGGTCCCTTTTCGAAATGTGGCTCTCGCTTCAGCGCCAGCACATTTTCTAGAAACACACATATAGTATATGTAAACCATCAGATATATACACAACTATCTATATATGTATGATTTGGATTCCCAGGATCAACGTACCAGACATGGTGCTTTGAAAGGATTCAGGATTATGCGGGCGCCACGATTATGTTTGTACGCTGTGTTGAAGTTCCCCCACATGGCGTTCTGGAACGATTCTGGATCGTCAAGACGCAGCAGTCAGGTTGATACGTGGCGTCGAAATCCCGAGAACAATGTTTTGGCACGCTTCAGGATCTTACAACTGTTGTCTTCCAGCGAGGCAATTCCCTCAATGGAAATGAGCCGTTGTAGGGGCCCGTGAAGAGGGAGCTTGGAGGTAGGGTTAATTCCAACATCGTTGCTGACCCTTGGGTTTCCATTGGTCCTCCTCCTCCATTCCTCCTCCTCCTCCTCCTCCTCCTCCTCCTCCCACCGATTCCGAATGGCACGGATTCCGTGCCGCACCCGCTCCGTGTTGGCACGGCGGTCAAAGGGGCCCTGGTGGACGCGGCTCCTGGACCGCGGGGCCTGCCCCCGGGACAACTGCACGGGCCGAACTTTCCGACGGTCCTGGGGCCCGACGAGGGCCCTGAGATCCTGGGAACGGCGAAACAATCGGAGGTGGACAGTCCTGGACAGAACCCCCAACAGTGACACGTCGATTAGTGAATTGTCCGTTTTCGGTTCTCGAGAGGGCGCCGTGGCCGTCATTTTCCAGGCTTGCGCCCGCCAGGTTTGGGCCTCAGGTCGTTTTTCACTAAACCACGTTTTACTAAAGGGAGGTCTGTCCATCCCCGAAACAACTACGAAGCCCACCTCCTCTGGGACCCCTTCTCTGGATAGCAACCCTCGGCAAATCGCCTCCCCCCTCCTGAGGCCTGTCCTGGGGTGCGTTTGATCACATTTTCGTAAAGGATTCGCCCGTCGGCGGACGTAGAATAGTCAGCGCTTTGGGAAGGGATGGGTGGGATGGGCAAGATGTCATGGCGCGAACGCACCTACCTTGGCCTCCCCCTTCTCCCTGCTCTGCCTCCCCTGACATCCCCGCGCCGTGACAAAAATCACGGTGAACAATTTTTGGCAACTTTCCGGCTCCGGGGGCCCTCGCCAAGCCCAGGGGCCGTCAGAACGCAACTCGGGATGAGAAGCCAATCCCTGGGAAGGGGTCCAGAACTCTGGGGCCCCCTGTGAGACAAACCGCGACGTCGGATGCATGGGTCCTCACTTTCCCTGCTCCGCCTCCTCCTGTGAGCTCTTCAAAGGTGGACATGGGGCCCTAGGGCGAGTAGGCCCCGGGCAGTGCAAATTCAACACATCAGCCGTTTGCTATTCTCAGGGCCCCATCTTCGAACCTCATATCCTGTCTCTCCTCCTCGCGCTTACCCTCTTCTGTCTTCCCCTCCTCCTCCTCCTCCTCCCCCTCCTCCTCCTCCTCGGACGCTCGGATGCTCCAAGGTCCCAGGGCGCATGCGCCGCTAAACCCACACATACGCCAGACCCATGCGACGCTCAAGCGCGCAACCCTCCTCCTCCTCCTCCTCCTCCTCCTCCTCCTCCTCCTCCTCCTCCTCCTCCTCCTCCCCCCCTTCTACTCCGTGTCCTCCTGCTTCTGCTCCTCTCCGTCCTCCTCCCCCTCCCCCCCTCGCCCACCTACTCCTCCTGCCTGCTGCTCCTCCTCCTCCTTCCGCCGTGACCATCTTCTGGGGGCCCCTGGGGAGTCGGGGCGTGGAGCAGCGGGGGCGGGGTGCGGTGGGCGGAGCAACAGAGCAGCAGCAGCGCAGCCAGGGGGTGAAATCTCGGGAGACGGGGAAGCGAGGATCGGAGGGAGGAGGAGGAGGAGGGGAGGGCCGGAGGAGGGGAGAGCACGAACGAAACAAAGAGAAGGAGAGAGAGAGAGAGAGAGAGAGATGGAGAGAGGGCTGAGAGCGTGGAACTCTCCGAATCCTTACATGCCGCCGCGGCGGCGGAAAGAGAGAAGGGGTTGAAGTCGAGAGAGGCCTCTCCAGGCCGCTCGTGCTGTCCAGAGCCATCGTGCGGCGGCAGCGGTCCTTGAAGATGTCGGGCGGGGCTCCGGCGTAGTTGAAGACCTCGGCCGGCGCTCCCCGGCCCTCGCAGCCGGCGGTGCTGGTGCGTGCGTGCGAACGCGTGCGCGATCGAGCGGGAGCGCGTGCATGTGCGTGCGTGCGTGCGTGTGTGTGTGTGTGCGTGTGTGTGTGTGGTTGTTGTTGTTGTTGTTGGTGTTGTTGCTGTTGTTGTTGCTGTTGTTGATGTTGTTGTTGTTGTTGCTGTTGTTGTTGTTGTTGCTGTTGTTGTTGTTATTGTTGTTGATGTTGTTGTTGTTGTTGTTGTTGGTGGTGGTGGTGTGTGTGTGTGTGTGTGTGCGTGTGTGCGTGTGTGCGTGTTTGTATGTGTGGACCACGCTCCTGAGTGACCCTGCTCTGCACACGCGCACGGAGGTCGTGTCTGACGCTGCCTATGCGCTCCTGTGCCACCCTCTGCGCTCTCGGTCGAAGCACTGGCGTTCTCGTTTGCCAAGTGGTGCCCCGAATTCTGTCTTCAGCGAAACTTCAAGATTCTATGTCCCGCCGTGCTGGGCTGCGCCGAAACATATAAAATGAAGCTGGGCCTGGATCAGAGCATTCCTTGCCTTCCAGGTAGAGGGTGTTGACCAATCCCTTTTCCTTCGCTTCCATGCCAAACCTCGCAAGGAGGATTCGCGGGAGGGTCTTGGGCCACCCCCTGTCTCACCCCTTTAGGAACCCTGCAGCTTGCTGTCGCAGGGAGAAATCAGCAGTCTGTTCCATATCATTCTCCAGAAGAGCACCAGCTTGCCTCGAGGATGCTTTCCTCTTTCGCCCTCCTAAGCCCCTCTCCTCTTCCAACCTCCCCCTTTCCTCCAAACTCCCACCTCCTCCTGCTCCTCCTCGCTCCTCGTTTTCCTCGCTCCTCCTTCTCCTCCTCCTCGCTCCTCTGTCTCGTCCTCCTCGTTCTGCTCCCCCGTCTCCTCCGCCACCTCCCTCCGCCTCCCCCACCGAAATAAAACACAACAAACATGCAACACTTACTTCTCTGAGGGTTCCTGGGACCAAGCAGGCACAGCGAGTCATTTGGCAGCAACATGGTGGCACACTACCAGCGACGTCCAACTTGCTCGGCCCATTAACAGCTCTTGTGGTACATAGCTATATACGCTTGGGATCGGTCATTGGCCAATGGGGGGGGGTCGTGGGGCCTGAGTTTCGGTGTCGTGCGAGCGTCGCAGTTGCATCGTTGCAGAAGCTGCGAAGACATGTGTTTGCCACCGATATCCTGTCAACGTCGGGACGGAGGCGTTTTGCAGACAGACCGGTCTGGTCGGGACGCTTGTGCAATGCCAATGCCTGGGCTGCCTTGCCAAACGGGACATCGAAGTAGTCGTGGATCGATGTGATGAAGGATCGTGCGGCTGCCCGCGTACGGTGTGGAGGACGAGCCATGTGTGTCCGACCAGATGGTATTGGCTAAACATCAACGGCCGTCACCGACTGCACTCTTGCATGTAGCCAGGTTCCGACTGTACGGATCGTTGTTGGTCGGTGGTCCCATTCTGGCTTTTGCGATGCCGCGAGCGGAGTGGACAGCAGCAGCCCCCCCCCGCGCGGTCACGGACATGGGTGGGTCTCTTGCGAGAAGACCCAGGCTGGCTTCATCCTGCCAGCCGCGCCTGTGCCGAGCTGCCGCCGCGTTCAGACATGGGGCCCTGGGATGCTCTTGCAAAGAGGAGTCCGTCAGCCTGGAAACGCCTAGTATGGTAACCTATGCCTGCGCAACTACATGCAGACATGCGCGCAAACACAGCAGAACAAATCGCCAAGGATTCTTTGACACAGTCAGACATGCCGGAGCGCCAGAGCGGGTCTACAGTAATTTCAACTCAACGGTATGCTTATTGATGGACCGACGATGCGGGTAACTACTGAAGCCACAACATGCCCGTGGTGTGCTCGGACGCTTCGCAACCATGCAGCGTATCGGGCACATGTGGTACGCTCTCATCGCAGACATACCGACCTGGCACGTGCATATGCGCACCCAGACAGACGATGTCAGGCACGCCTTATCGTGTTTCACAATTGGGCGCATCTAATGGACCATTTGGCTTCGGACTCGCCGAGATGTGTGTCCTACTTACTACGCGACAGAAACCAGCAGATTATTTGGAGCATGCCGAAGGGCGGACCGCAGGAGGGTTCGCTCAGAGGTTTAGAGGCGGTATGTGGTGGTCCCAACTATGTGGGCGTCGGGACCCCTGGAGCCAGAAACCGCCGAACAAATAATGGCGTCACTAACGCAACATGAGGCTAAAGAACGCATGGCGGCGACTGATCCGGATGCCGAGTGCTTGCCGCGGCCGCCACCGCTGCCAGCACCACTGCCTGCACCGCCGCCAGTTGATCATACCACTGAAAAGTTTTTTTCATTGTTCTTTTCCCATGCCGCTGCCAGGAAGACGACCCTTTTCAATTGGAAATGGTCGTTTTTTTATCGCGTCAGCAGGCGTCATTGGCGAAAGCAGCATGGGTGCTGGCCCGGCGCCGACATCCCATGTACAGTGCGCTGGGTCGAATACTGCATGCTGAACCTGTACTGTGGTCGACGGCGGGGAGGGGACATTCAGGCACACGTGGACTGGGCACACTACCTTGCCGACTATGCTATTACTGTACTTTCCACTGGCATAGCCATACACGCGACGCTTGGGAAAGCGGATGGATGCTGATGCACGTGCCATATAGAAGGAACATGTATTGGCGAAGCGGGTCGTTACATCGGGAGGGGGGCCTACCGTGTGAGACATTGTCTGGCGCGAGGTGGGTTGAAGGTAGCGGCCCATCCCGATTAGGGACGCATGACGAGAACAGGGGGGAGGTTGTGCTCACAGCGCGACAGATGGAACATGTGCTGGTATGTAGCGCGCTGCAACGGTCACACTGTTCGCCGCGCGCCTTACAGTAGGTACAAGCTGTTGGCTGGAACACCCGCAACCATATGATTGACACATTCAGGCTGTGACCTCCTTTACATGGCATCCCCTCCGGGCCATGACCTCCTCCCCAGCAGTGAAAACCATTGATTTTGATCAGTGCGAGCACGGTCAGTCGTCGAGGGCACCGACTAGGATCGTGGCGTTACGTGTTTCAGGCTTGCACAGTCGTCTGTTGGATACGGGAGGGAGAGGCAAATGCTCACATGGAAGGAGAGGTCATGAAACTTTGCTGGGCCACGACAGAACTCGCAAGGAATGGAGGACCGCCGAGAAAAGACCGGAAGCGTCGGTGGTCTGTTCGGGTCAGGCTGTGGGTGCGAAGGTTAGCAGACTCTTGAAGCGCCGTGGAGGCAAACGCCCTTTTCGACGGCGGTGAACCTCGGAATGGACGACACGGCTGACAGGCCCCGTCGTCAAGCTGGGCGTGCTCGTAAACTTCGGGCTGGTCAGAACGTGTTCGAGCAGCGAATGGCTCGTCTCGAGAGGCTGAAACGTATTCTGGGGCAGGTGTGCTGGAACATAATTTTCACCTCGGGCCCCTGGCAGGGCCTCTCGTACGGTGCTGAGGTCCACGTGCCGTCCCAGAACGAGCTTGCTGGAATCCGTTGGGGTGTAAGGGGAGTGCTGAAACCCACTCCTGGGATGGCTCAAGTTGCTGCTGATACTGGAGAGTGATCACTCGGCTGCCTCCTCCGTCGCCCCCGTGATTCGGTATAGCAACGGAATGTGGACCAACTAGTGTGGGACGTTCAAGTTTCATTCGGACTTCAGGTCCCTGCGTGAGGCTCGGGATCAAGCGTTAAGCCTCGAGACTGATTCTCCTGAGCTCACGTGGCGTTCCGTGTGTGGGCTGATCAAAGCCATGACGCCCCCTCTGCGCCGTATCCAGTGGGTCATGCGGTCTTTCTCTGAGCTGCTTGGCGAGTGTGTGGAGGTTGTGTGCCTCTCCTCGGCTTCCCCCTCCTTGGCTAGGAAGTTGCTTGAAGCAGGGTTGATCCGCCAACTGCAGAGGGACTCTGGCCAGGCCTTGGGCGTTGGTAAGAGACTCTGCTGCGACGAAGTGGAGGCCCAACTCCACTCCAACAATTTCACCGCCTTCGAGAAGGCCTGCGTTCGCGGGCTTAGTTGCGGTGCAACTCGGACCGCCGATCGAGCCATCAGTTGTGGTAATACGCTCCCGCCCGCACTTCGCCAGCTTTGTCGGGCGGCACCCGATGGCTTGATACGCAGAATCTGGTTTTGCCCCGCTTGCTAAGACGCGAGAGATGATCTGGTCAAGCCCCTGGCACAGGAGGCTGCCAGATCGTGCGATGTGGGTGATCCTGATCAGGTGTTGCTATCCACACGGGGCTGTTTCGGCATCCTGGATACGTCTGGCCGAGGCCCTGCGCAAGCGATGGCGTCGCCATTCGTTGGGGCGAGGATTCGACCAAAGGCGACGCGGATATCTCGGGTAACGTTGTCATGGACGGAAGCTGTCAACGGCACATTGTGAGGGAGTTGTCACGAGCAAGTTGGAGGCATATATCCCTTGGAGACAACGGGGATGCGGTGGTTTCAGCTCATGGGCCCATCTGGGCCCCGCTGCATCAGACCTCGCAGACTGGAGAGTATGGGGCCCTGGAGGCCTCCTCGCAATGCGTGGTGGGCCCTTGTACTTGTTTCTCCGACTGCTTCAACGTTGTGCGAGCCCACCAGGAGCCCCGTTGCAGCAAGCTGTCTCGCAAGAGGCGCTATTATGGCATGATGTTTTCCAGTTTCACTGACCACTGGACGGTGCCAATCCAGAATCTCAAGGCCAAGTAAGGCTTTTAAAGTCGAAGGGTGGCGCGGCTGATGAGGCCGCGACGACCGGCCTTGCAGCGCGCCCTCCGCCCCTCGGGCAATGAGATTCGCGAGCCTAACTTCCAGGCCATGATCGACAAATCTGTCTGTAAGCTGGTGGCGCGACTGCTTCCGTTGCGGCCGCGTCTTGACCTCAGTGGCGTCGAGCTGGCCAAGGAGGTAAAGGACTCCCCCCCTCGGCTGCGGCCGAGCTGTTCGAGCATCAGTGGTAATGAT